CACCAGTTGTTATATTAAGATAATGGAAAGAAAAGAACAAGAGACAAATCCCCTTCTCAAAAATTACGTTAGCTTTTTGTCCACAAATCCCGAGTGATAGCTCCAAGATAATGATGGAGACAAATCCCGGTTAGAAATTTGGGGACGGGTGGAAAGCCATAAGGATGTGGAGCTCGAGGAACACGGGAAAAATCAGAAACGGGTGTCATAATGGACATATATAAAAGGAAACAAGTGGAGAAAGGAGGTCACAACTCAGAAAGAAAAAAAGAGAAAAACCCAAACTCTACCAATTTTCTTCCTTCCCATTACTCTCGATATAAACCTATCTCCTCAAACTCAGAAATAAAATGGCCTCTTTATTCCCATTTTCTCTCAATCTAAACCTAACTCCACCAACACAGATATTGGGGCAAGGGGCAGCACTAGCGTGGATACCCTACTTTGCTTCCTCACGAGGACCAATTACCGTAAACGACTCATTACTCCTTGACAACGATGTTGCCATTTGAGTTGCAAGGAGTTTGGTGACTTCTAGGGATGTGCGCGTGCTGGGAACAAGGGATGATAACCGGGTGGTGAGTGATATCATGGCACTAAACGTGCAAAGCGCAACGTCAGTTGCAAGTGTGGGTCATCACCTCATTGTGAAATCCCATGAGGTACAAGTGCTAAGAGCTCAGTTGGTGGAAAAACGGAATTTGGTTCAGAGTGCTATAAGGAGATTGAAAAGGGAGAGGACAAAGACGTTGGAGGAGACGCGACACCAACTTGAAATATTGTAGGAAGAGAATCAAAAGCTATCAAACGTGGTAGATTTTTACTCTAAGGACATGCAAGAGTAGATGAAGGCCTTGAATCGACGGGGTAAACGTGCGCGAGGAGATCCAAGTTTTGTTAAAGCTAAGAAAGTGATCTTTGGAAGCTCAAGTGATGAGCCCCAAGAAGTGTTGCTTGAAAACCCGAGATAGGAGATCCAAAGGGCCAAACTAAAGTCTCCTATTGTGAATCAGGAAGCGCACCATGATGTTTTTTTATATATATATTTATAATAAATAAATAAAATTAATGTAGTCCCCTGTTTCTTTTTCTTTTTTTTAAATATGAAATAAAAAAAGTTTTCTAATTTTTTTTTAAAAATAATTGGATAGAAAATGACTCATTTGTCCTAAAAATACCTCAATAGTTAGTTTAAAAAAATTTCGACACTTTTTACACTACGACCCAATAACTCGAGAATCCTGAATCAACCACTGCCTAGAATATAGACGTTTTCGATAATTGAAATGCATTCACATAAAACATCGATCGCTACTGAAGAATGATAATCTCTTCCACATGCATTATGACAACAGCAGTGGTGGTGTTGGGCTCTTAGCCGATGCATTTGATTGGTGGAGGAGGTAGCTCATCAGGGGAGAGAATGGTTGAATTTCCACAAAACATCATAATCCATATGTAAAATAAAGCCAAAATGAATTTCATCTAACCATCCTAGCAACCAAAAAATTAAACCCCAATCATGAACCAAACAAGAAAGTTAAACAGAAAAAAAAAAATTAAAAAACAAAAGAAAACAGAATTCTAGTGAAAGAACTGCATGGTGTTGAGAGTATTTGTCTCACATTGAAAAGTTAAGGGACCAAGTATGAGTTTATAAAGAGTTGGGCTACTACCCCCATTGCCAATTGGTTTTGGGGTGGAACCTCAACTTCCTTCATGGTATCAGAGCAAGGCTTCACGTATTGAGCCCAACGGCCACACATGCTCCCACGTCACCCAATATGTGTTGTCCATGTATTATGCTTGAAAGTTCGCCACACGTGCGGGGGCGTGTTGAGAGTATTTGTCCCACATTGAAAAGTTAAGGGACCAAGCCTGGGTTTATAAAGAGTTGGGTTTATAAGGCATGGAACCTCAACTTCCTTCACATGGAGTAACAAAATTTGATGAACTCCCGAACTATGATTTATAATGAAAACTGAAATCAAAAGAACAAATTCATCAATTGCTAAAGTGTGAAACCCAAAAATACAAACAAGAACAACAAAAATAACTAATAGGAAGACATGTTGAGAATGGTCGATTTCCTCTTTGCATCGGAGGGCCACGAGAGTGTAGGAAGAGATTTTGGGTGTACGTGAAGGAATCTCCGTTGAATTGCAGCAAGACAACTCAAATAGTATGGTTCATGATTGGGGTATTTTAGGGATATGAAAAATAAAAAATCTGATGCATCAAGCTTGATTAGGTAATTTGTTAGTTGAATCCTATTCACTAGGGTTTAGCCAAAAAAAAAAATGTTATCTAAAATTTGCTAGGGGAAGAAACATGAAGGGGTGGGAGGGGGGGAGGAGAGACGGAGAATATATGGAAAAGGGATGGCCTTGTCAAAGTGCAGCGGTGGGGTAAGTACCGAGTTTCTTCTCGGAAGGTGGGTTTAGAAGAAATTCCAATGGCAATGGATTGGAATTTTAAGTTGTTTCATATTTGAGCCGTTTGATCAGACCTGATAAAAGCATATATAAGTTGTGCTGGTACATTACGTTGTCACAAGCATATATGAGTTTTTGCTCCATTTTAAAACATAATTACGCAAGAATATGTAAATTACATATTTTGTGATGTAGATGGCTTTCTCAAAAGCTTCAAATCATATTTGTTTAAACCCTAGTTAATAAATTTGTGTACTATACGTAGATGCACTCATATATTTTTAAAAATACTTTCACATAATTGTATACACGTCTTATTAAAAGAGTGCTGCTATTTCCACCTATATCCTATTTCCCCACCCACCTTTTCTTCAAAATTTTAAAAACAAATTTATTCCTTTGTAAAATGACTTCTAAGGATCATCCTCAAAACTTGACACGTGTCTATTGCTATTAAATCTTTAATTTTAAATCATTTAAGGACTTTTTTTTTAAAAAAAAAAAGTAAAATAATATAAAAAAATAACATTTATAAAAATATAAAAAAACAAAAAAACTCTCCCTCCCTCACCTCCCAGCCCTAGGAATGGCGACGGGTTAGGTAGGGGCCGAGTATGACAATACCATCCCCGTCCCCGCTCTCCATCCCTGCCCCCGTCCCCGAATCCATCCCTGTTTAATAGGTTTCGGGGAATCCCCATCCCCGTCCCCATCGGGGGACTATCCCCCATACCCGCCCCGAATCTCCGATTTTTTTTGCATAAAAAAATATTTGTCATACGTTTTAACATTAAGTTTCATATTAAATTATCATTCAACACATCCAAATTAACTATAAAGTTCAACTCAACTATTCAAAATTTTATCAATATGAAGTTCCAGAGAAGATTAGGAAGAATTAGGAGATGGAGGTTAACTTAAGGTTAAACATAAATATTATAATTATATATTTATTTATTTAAGTATAAACATACATATTTTCGGGTCGGGTTCAGGGATGGGGACGCCAATACCATCCCTCCCCATACCCGTCAGGGATTTTTCAAGTTCGGAGATTCCCGTACCTGATACCCGTTTAGCCCCGAAATCTCCCCTCGTTAGGGTCGGGGACCCGCCCCGGCGGGGATTTTTGCCATCCCTACCCAGCCCGACTTACCCCAACCCCAAATCACCATGTCCGCCAATCCTTCCCCCTTCGTCCCACCCATCACTACTCATCACAATTATCAGAAACGCCAATAGAATCCAATGGCACCACATCGCTTCACAAATACAAAGCCTACAATGCTGTGCTAGTGTGAAGGGAATAAGGGCAGTAGTAAAACTGGTAAAGTTGACACCTGGACACTGAAAACTCAAAACCCATAAATAAAATATAAATTATAAACCCAATCATGAAGTAAATGGGTACGCAATAAATTGTTTTATTAGCACCCCCAAAACGAAGGCCCAAAAGTACTCACATTAGCAAAGGTCGGTAGCGCAGAGCATAACAAGTATCTGTGTAGCTTCCTCATCGACTTTTTAAGAGCGACTTTGCTGCGAAATTGTTTGAAACTTACTTTTCCACTGTTTGATTGGGTTACTAACTACGAAGTTTCCAGTAGGGTTGAGGAAGAGAAAAGGCTATTAACTCTTTCGTTACAAATGTACTCTAGATTTCCTCACATCCTTTCCCTCAAAAAGAAAAAAAAGCATCTTCCTCCTCTTGGGTTTCATTAATCAATCATGCTGGTTTCTGGAAACTCTGAGAGCAGCTATCAGTAATTTTCCAAATAAGGTACACATATGCATGTCAATCCAACTTGTTTCTCTCATCTTGTTTTTAGAAACAAACTTCTGCTAGATTAGTCGTGAGTGGAATCAATAGAGATTTCCTTATAACCATGTACTGAGAAACTTGTGCATCATTTAGTTGATAAACTTCTGCTAGATTAGTCTGGATTGTACTCTATCTGATCGAACAGCTCAAAAGTTGACGACTTATATGACCCAATGTTTCCTGTCAGAGGAGGGCTCTAGCAGACGGCCAGTCACGGCCTAATGCTGGCGATCAAACTTTCCAAAAGGCAAAAATCTAGCAGTGGTTCCCCACGACCACGATGTTATAGAGACTACCGGAAACAATGGATGAGGCTGGTCGGTGACCAGCAAAGGCGCCTTTTCGGAGGTGCCGCCCTACTGTGTCGTGCCCGCCCAATGGCGCCATAAATGGTTCACATTTATTGCTCATAGCCCCATTTTACTAGTGAGGAGCATATGAGTAGACTGCTCTTTAAAACTAAAAATAGAATGGCATTACAGAAAAATAGTTGAGACATATCTATTAATTTTCTTACTCATACAAAATTTAATTAACTTTTCATGGAAAGTTGTTAGAATTTGAAAATTTATAAATAGGAGTAGAAATTTATTAATTATTATTAAAGTTCTATTTGTTGGTATATCATGGATTCAGAAACTTATACCATCTGAGGTTGAACACTTAATTTTTTTTATGGTTGTTGGTAGGTACTGAACAAATCGTTGCGAGCTGAAGCAAACCGGAAATAAACACAGATATCAATGGAGAATCCTGATGAAGTTATGGACCTTGAGTCCCAACAAACACTTCCACCTGATGCTGATGATAACTATATAACAGGATCTCATGCTGCTTCCCCAGAATACGGGGTAAGTTTTCCCATTCCACAATTATTCTTTCTTAGTTTATAAGAAAAATAGAGAGAAGATGAAGAAAATAGATAGATGAAAAGACTGAATTGTAAATAACGGTACAAGTAAGCTCACGGATTAAGAACAGACTTAACTGACATGGACGTGACAACTGTTGACTTTATACTTTTAACATCTTTGAGAACATATTTATTGTTCATGGATGATGTGGGAACTTCAGAATTATTTAATCTATTCTATCAGTATTGTCCACGACATGAATTCGCACGTAAAAAATCAATATTCGGGATAGATTTAACAAATCGGGTTGAAAATAAGTGAACCCATTAGCTACCTGTTAAGGTAGCAGGTTGTGTCGTGTCAATTCACAAATATTCACTAACCATCGGTTAAGAGGGGTAATTGTGTAATTTTCTATTTGCTGTTTTTTTTTCTCCTTTCTACTCTTTGCTCTCCCTTCCAGGACTTTTCTCTGCTCCAACTCTCTCTAAAATGCCATCACATGCTTAGCTCCAATTTCATTCTGAAAATTCAATTCCCCACAAATTTGTTTTATTTCTTATCAATATTTTTATTCTTATTCTTGGAGGGTGGGTAAGTTATGTTGGGCTGGGATTGTTTTTATGTTTGTGATTTAGTAATGGTGGATTCGATTTGGAGAGCAAAGATAACATCTCTCTCAAGCCATTCGAGAATTTTACCGTTCGCGATTTCTTCCTTCTTTAACACGATTGCAGTGCTCGAGTCTGACTCACCCGCGACCTCGCCGTCCCAAAGCACCGGTTGAGAGGGCAAAGGAGATTGTTGTGGCGACTGCCCCAAGAGTGCAAAACAAAAATGAATGGGTGTGTGTTAGGGATGGCAAAAATCCTTGCGGGAGCGGGTCCCCGACCCTAATAGGGGAAGATTTCGGGGCCAAATGAGTATTGAGTATGGGGATCCCCGAACTTGAAAAATCCCCGACGAGTATGGGGAGGGAATGGTATTAGTGTCCCCATCCCTGAACCCGACTAGAAAATATATATGTTTATATTAAATAAATAAATATATAATTATAATATTTATGTTTAACCCTAAGTTAACCTCCCTTTCCTAATTCTTATTATCTTATTTGGAATTTCATATTGAAGTGATTTTGAATAGTTGAGTTGAACTTTATAGTTAATTTGGATGTGTTGAATGATAAATTAATTTGAAACTTAATGTTAAAATGTATGAAAACTAAAAAAAAAAAAAAAAAAAAAAAAAAAAAAAAAAAAAAAAAATCGGGGATTCGGGATATGGGGGATAGTTCCCCAACGGGTACGAGGATGGGGACAGGGATTCCCCGAAGCCTATTAAACAGGGATGTGTTCGGGGAAAGGGGCGGGGATGGAGAGCGGAGACGAGGATGATATTGTCATACTCGGCCCCTACCCAACTCGTTGTCATCCCTAGTGTGTTGTGCCAGCGTTAGGAGTAATTTTTGCACGTCTCGAGTATACCATGTGGTTGGTATACCATCCAATACACAAGGAATATCTTTCTTTTTTCTTTAGTTTTTTGGGTTTTTTTGTTTGTTTGTTTGTTATTTCAATATTTTTTTAAAAAAATTCTTAACGGGTGAAACGAGTCGTATCAGGTTATTCGCAAATTGTGATGGGTTGCCTAATTCTTATTATCTTCTTTGGAATTTCATATTGAAGTGATTTTGAATAGTTGAGTTGAACTTTATAATTAATTTGGATGTGTTGAATGATAAATTAATTTGAAACTTAATGTTAAAATGTATGAAAACTATTCTTTTATAAAAAAAAAAAAAAAAAAAAAAAAAAAAAAGGAATCGGGGATTCGGGAGATATGGGGGATAGTCCCCCAACGGGTACGAGGATGGGGATAGGGATTCCCCGAAGCCTATTAAACATGGATGTGTTCGAGGAAAGGGGCGGGGATGGAGAGCGGAGACGAGGATGATATTGTCATACTCGGCCCCTACCCAACTCGTTGTCATCCCTAGTGTGTTGTGCCAGCGTTAGGAGTAATTTTTGCACGTCTCGAGTATACCATGTGGTTGGTATACCATCCAATACACAAGGAATATCTTTCTTTTTTCTTTAGTTTTTTGGGTTTTTTTGTTTGTTTGTTTGTTATTTCAATATTTTTTTAAAAAAATTCTTAACGGGTGAAACGAGTCGTATCAGGTTATTCGCAAATTGTGATGGGTTGCGTTCGTGTTTAGTATTTTTCACCCATTAACTTAACGGGTCGTTTTGTGTAACCCCATTAAAAAAAGCATGTTGACACAAACACCACAACTACAACCCGTTAACAATTAAAAATACAAAACCAATCATGAAATACATTTTACTGCATATTTTTATTCTAGGAGTATAATTGATAAACTAAAACAAAATTATTTCAAATTCATGCACAAATTAAACACGAGAAAGTAAATAAAATAATATTTTCTATATATTTTTCTATCATTATTAAACATGAGAAAATAATCTTCCATTTTCTTTCCCTTGCTAAAAAACATAGGAATTAATTTCCTATCAATTCTTTTTTGTGGACCAAACTTAGCGTGAACAAATAAAATTTGTGAACCAAAACCTAATCCAACTTAATTTTAAATTACGTCAATGCCAGTTGGCTTTTATTTATTTATTTTTGCATTTACATTTTATTTAAAGAATAAATTTACATAAGGAATTAAAAAATTGATAGAAAAACTAAAAAGATAGGAATCGAGGTTTAGAGCATCCACAATGAGTTCCCTAAACCACCTCCTTAGACAAATTTTAGGGAGGAATTGTAAAAATACAACCCCAACCATGCTCCCTATCCATCTCCTAAAATAGGGAGTCCTCTAGGAGCTCCTAAATTTGAGGAGAGAGAAAAGACTCATAGTACTCCCTCTAATTTAATGATGCTTTATTTAATGAGTATTTCAAACATTTATTTAATGCTAACTATTTTTTATTTTATTTTATAATAGAGATGGACCAATTAAAAAAGAGTTATAGCATTATGACTCTCCGTAGTGGAAATTTATAGAGAGCTCCTAAAATAGCTTTCTTATATTTTTAGCTAAATTTTAACTAAGAAATAGAGCATCGTTGTGGATGCTCTTAGTGGGCGAGAGAAATGTGGGTGGGGTAGGAAGTAACTTCCTCCATATAATTACTTAGATGGAATTTGTTTTTTCATTTTTATGATTTAACAAATTGGGTTTTTACCACTTTACCCTCATAGTAAATTATGGTGTTCTAATATATTTTTGAGTTATTCTATTTAAACCTCACACTTTTCTTTGTTCACCTTAATACTTAAATCATTAAGCTCTTAAGTTTTATTATTGTGTAAAAAGACAAAAAAATCTCATCCAACTTAATACTTAACCCTAATACATCTATACACACACCCTACCACTCTTCATGTTAAGTTTTGGAAAAACACAAACATATGGGCATCTGTAACCACCGAAGGAACCTCTCAAGCTTGGTCTCTTCTAGTGAGCTTGCCATTGCTGTGTGTGCCATTTTGAGAGTTGATTGGTTTTTCAAAGAGAGAGAGAGAGAGAGAGAGAGAGAGCAAAGGGGTTTTAGTAGGTAGCAACTTCAAGTGTTTCTATGCTCTCAAAAGGAAAACACCAAAGCTACTGCCTAAACTTTGTATACTGGATGTTAATTTTGGTAATGGAAGAAAATGGGGCAATCGAGAAAAAAAAATTACACATTTTTCACCTCGAACCATCCACTACCCTCATCATCCACTGCTTCTCCATCCCCATTTGATCAATTTCCAATTATATTCACCCCAAATAAATAAATAAAACGTATGAAAATAGATTGAATATACAAAACAAATTTGGTTGATTTTATTTTATATAACAAGTTAGCAAACCGTAGCACCACTCCCGTATCAATTTAACTATCAACATTTCTCTATCAAAATCTCCTTGTTCATTCTCCAAATTTTTAACAAAATAAATAATAACAATAATAAAATAATGCTGCTACACATTTGACAACAATGTTTTTATCTCTTTTAGTAATGTGAGGTTAAAGTGAACTTAGAGTGGATAGGGGTGCTCACGACACGTTGTTCTGTACATCAAACTATGTGTGCATAAGAGTTTTTCTTTGCAGGGCTTGGAGTTGTGTTTTGTTTTGTTTGTTTATTTCGGGTATGTGTCGAACTCTCTTGTTAGTCCATGACATATGTAATACTCTTTCCTACCATAAGGTTTGTCCCATGTGGTTTTTCTAGAAAAGTTTTAACAAGGCCTCTATTCTCGTGCCAATCTTTGTGTGCCTTTTGGTTTTATGAATGAACTCTCTTAACAAAAAAACAAAAAATTGAAAAAAAAAAAAAATGTCCACCTAAAATAAGGAGATCTCTAGGAGCTCTTAAATTTGAGGAGAGAAATAAATCCTAGTAACTCTCTATAATTTAATGATGTTTTGTTTTATGCACATTTTAAACTTTTAATTAAGAGTACTACTATTTCTACCCCATGTCCTATTTTCTCACCCACAATGTAAATTTGAAAAAAACATAATCCTATCTTTCAACCCACCATTATTCCCAAAATACCCTATAATTAATAATTAAAGCAACATATTTTCTTGAATTTCCCAATTTATTTATGTTCATATTGTATTCCCTTATTCGACATGGATGGCCAATGAATCCTTTTTCGAAACCACCATCCCATCTTAATAGACATATGGGAAGAGAATATTTGTTTTTGTTTTTTAATAGGGGAAACAGAAGAGATGTTGATGTTCATAGATATGCATCAAAGGTTTGGGCGAAAGGAAGATTTGTTGAGAGCTGAGATTTTGGGGGAGGGGTTGGGTGGGTGGAGAGATGTGGTTGAGAAAGGAAACACAGAAAGAAGAAGAAAAAAAATGCTGAGTGATGCTGCATCTCTCCCTCTCTCTCTCTCTCTCTCTTATATATATATATATATATATATATATATATATATGTATCACTGTTGTGTGCACGCAGATACTCTTTCTTTCTCTCTCTAACTTTCTCACTCCTAGTCTAAACAGAGTTTTTACAGAGTTGAGAGCAAAGGGGTGGGTGCAAATAGACACACATAGTTTGATACATGCCTCTGCTCCCCTTTTTTTATTTTTTTCTTTGCCTTTGTTCTTTTTTTCCCCCAATGCCTTAGAAGTCATTTTACAAAGGGCCAAATTTATCTTTAAAATTTTGAAAATAAGGTGGGTGAAAATAACAACACTCTTAATTAATGCTAAATATATATACATGGATCAATTATATTGAATTGAAAATTAATTATAGTATTTATGACTTTCTAAACTAGAAAATATAATTATAGTTCAAATTTTATAGAGAATTCCTAAAATAATTTTTGTGTGTTTTTAGCTAAAATTTAACTTTAAAAAATAAGGTCAGGATCAAAAAATGAGGCTCATGGCCCAAGCCCAAGCCTACTTCAAGCCCGGCCTCTTAACTTTTTTATTTATTTTTTAAATTTTTTATAACTATTCTACTATGATGTCTATTTGGATAATGTTGTAATTCGAATTAATTCATGATAAAATTATTAGGTGATAAAGTAAACTTTCTCATGTTTCTTTAGGCACTGATTTCATGAAAACACGTTTATAATTGAATTTAAAAAGATGAGATAGTTGAAAAGAAATTTTCCTAACAGATTTTGTGTAATGATTCAATATTGATGAATTATTTGAATTTTTGATATGTTGAACACATACATGTCTTCTCATGTACTGAAAATTTTCGTGATGATTGGATAATAATTTTATTTATTGTCTATTTTTAAGTAATCTATGTTCAGGAGAAAGTATGTGCCGGCAGATTTTATTAGGGGTGGCATTTTAGATTGAAAAACCGCAAAAACCAACCGACATTATACCGCATTTGAACCGCAATAGCTAAAAATTGACCAAAAATTGCGGTTTTAGAAACCGAATCGCAATTGCAGTTGCAGTTGCGGTATGTGATTTTGGCAACTTGCAGTTACCGCAAACTGTAAATTTTTTTTTATAAAAAAATTGCATTTTAGTAGTTAGACGTTGTGTTTTAATTTGATTGAGTTTAATCTATTATTAATATTCTTTTATGTTGTTGCTTTTGTGTTGTGTTGTGTTGTGTTATAGGTGGAGTCTTAACACACCTAATGCCTCTAATCCCCCAAACAGAAATTGATACACCCGAAACACAACCTACACTCCAACTCATAAAGAAGGGCTTCTTCTTATAATAAAATCCACTCACCACCACCTACACTTGAGTTCTCCTTTTGGTTTGTAACTTTAATGAACTTTGAATTGGATTTTTCTTTAGGTTGTGAATTTATATTTTTTGGTTAAAGTATGCTTGAACTGAAAAAGTTTCAAAAGAAGTACCAAACCTAGTCTTAAAAGTGTGGAAGATTGAATTTTTGTGACACAAAAAGACCATATTTAAAGATCTAAAATTGTCTAATTTAGGCTCTAAATATTCAAATCAGTTTAAACCGTTAATTAACGGTAACCACCTGATTTTTCCGATTTCAAAAATCACCTTACCGCAAATAGTCAGTCGATTTGCGGTTCGGAGAAAAATTCGCAGTTACCGTACCACAACCACCCCTAGATTTTATGAGTACCTTTGAAGGCCATTTTGGATTATTAATTGGAGATAAAACAACTCCTCATTTTTGTTTTATAAAGATTAGCGTCACTAGTTTGATTCTATGTAAGGCTGGGTTAATTAGACTTATAAATTAATTACGATAATTTTTCAGTGGAAAAAAAAAAATCAAGTGAAAAAAATTCAAATTAAGGTTCGTTCTAGGGCCCGAGCATGAGCACGGGCCCGGCTTGAGCCCGACCCGGCCCGTTTCAATGTGGACTTGGGCTTTGAGCCAGACTATGATAAATGATTTTACTAAATGGGCCAGCACGGCACCTCCCAATAAATTAAATGGGCCGGACTGGCCCGACATGAATATATTAAAAGCATGAGTTTAAATAGGCTGGGCAGGGCCGGCACGGCCTGTTTAACACCCCTAGTTTGAGTTGTATTTTTCCAAATACTTCCTAGATGTTGAGTGTGATAAGAAATTAAATAACTGGATATGATAAGACTTACCCATTTAATTACCATTTTGTTGGGGCTCAATATTAGCCTCAATTGTATTGTATATCTACCGGCCCATTGCAATCTACTGGCATACCTGATTAGCTGCTTGGAATGCTGAGCATGTGACCCTGTAAGACAAAAAGAAAAGACGACAAGCTAACCTAAGAGATTGTGCAATGCTGTCATGAAGAGTTAATCTGTAACAAACTGTAATTTAAGTTATTGCTGACTCGTTTTTGCAGGACGTGGAACTTCCAAGAACTACAGACCTTTCACCAGTATCGCCTCAAGTTTCTACAGAGGTCCATGTGAGTGTGGAAGGTGGTGGTGGTGGTGGTGGTGACGAAGCTAAACAGCAGCATGCAGATTCAGAAAATGGACTCATAGTCGATGTAGATGCTTGTTCTGGACCCAGAGTTAATCGACTCACGATAACAGAGACTCCAGCTCCAAGCTTTTTCGAACTCCTCAAAAAATCATGCAAAAGTTGCAACATTTTCCTTCTCTTCATTTCCGCAGTGCTCTCAATTGGATTTGGTATCAAGGAGGAAGGCACAGGGACCGGTTGGGTTGAAGGGGCCATTTTAATGGGTGCCGCAATAATACTTGTGGTCCTCTCTGCAATGCGTAAGTTCTGGTCTGGGAACACACAGCACCAGGCCCTTACACCTGACCATGCCCAGTTAATGGCTGAAATTGACAAGGTATGCACGTGCATGCAAGTGACTGCCCTCGTATTCTATATTGCCATCCTTGCAATATCTTTCCTCCATTACATGCTTGAAAGGAAAGACAGCAATTCTGGCCTCCCAGATATTAAAGGGAAAGCAACTGCAAGCACGGAAATTATCAATGTAATTGAGAATTTTTTCACGCAACAAAGTGGGAGCAAGAGTAATATGTTAGCAAAATTGGTTTTATTGCTGCCAGTAGTGGTAGAAAAACTACCTTTTTCTGTTGCACTTGCCATCAGTCACGGGAGAAAGAAGATTCTACCTGCTGAGAAGGCAAATATTGCTCAAGAAATGTCAGCTCTTTGCACCATGTGCCCTGCAGCTATTTGCATTAGCACAAATGTGCTCACTTTGAACTCTCGGAAAGTCAAGATGTGCTATACAGGGGATGAAGTCATCAAAGAAGAACCATATGCTCTTCAAGCCTTGTCCAATGCAATCAGAACATCAGTTTCGACGGGGTCTACCTCCACAGAGAACCAACTCCTTCCGTGGACTGAATCCTCATTGGGAATGGAAGATGAGAATTTGGGGCTGAATCACACCGATGAGGAGGACAGGAAGAATGGAGACATGCGGTGGCATTTTAAAGGACCTGCAACAACAATAATAGACAAGTGCTCACATTACAGTGACAGCAAAGGGAACGTAAACTCCATGGATAAACAGAAAAGAATGGATTATGACCAACTAAAAGCAGACATGCAGTCCAACAATCTCAAGACCATTGCATTTGCTTACAAGAACACAGATGGTCAAATGCTTGAAGAAAACGATATGACCTTAATAGCACTGGTAGGTGTAATGTATAATTATGACACAGAAATTATGGAAGCAGTGGAATTTTGGAGAAAAGAAGGATCTAACGTGATACTGTTCTCAGACGATAGCGCGCCTGTGCTGGAAGACATTGCTTGTTTATTTGGAATAGTACTTCCCAACTCAAACAAATCTGTGGTTGAAGGTGAAAGGTTTCGAACTAGTGATAAAGAAGGCATGATGGACATAGCAGATCAAATCTATGGGATGGTAAACTCCACTTCTTCTGACAAGTTCCTTTTGGTGCAATGTCTGAAAGAGAAAGGCCAGGAGGTGTTAATGGTTGGAGATAGAATAGATGAGACTCCAGTTCTCAAAGAAGCTGATGTGGGGGTTGCAATAGGGACTCGCAGTAGTGAAGATCCAGAGTGTTGTGACATAATCAACTTGGATGGCAATGATTTCGGTTTGGTGGTCAAGATTATCAAGTTTGAAAGGTGCATTTACTACACGATTCAAAAGTACATCCAACCTGAAATCACCATGAATATAGCGTTGCTGTTGATAACCCTCATTGCGACGATATGTATGGGACAGAGTACAATCATGACAATTCAATCATTATGGGTAGAGATGGTCGTGACCCTCACAACAGGGTTTGCACTACTGATGGAGCCGCCAACAGAGGAACAGCCACCGCCAGTAAGACGAACTAAAGGTCTCAATATTAGCAACCCAATGTGGAGAAACATACTCATCCAAGTTGCATACCAGACAGCCATGTTGGTCACCTTGCAACTCAAAGGGAAAACTTTCCTAGGCATCAACCAGAAGGTTAGTGAGTCCATGGTTTTCAACGCTTTCGTTCTCTGTCAGGTGTTTAACCAAATCAATGCAAGGCAGCCAGAGAAGAAAAATGTGTTCAGAGGCATACTTCTCCATCCATGGTTTTTGGTGTCTTTGGTTTTTGCTCTTACCCTGCAGCTGAGTTTTATAGAGATTGCACATATTCTTGTTGGGAATGCAAGGTTGAATTGGAAAGAGTGGGGTGTCTGTCTTTTAATTGGGATGGGTTCATGGCCAATCGATTTGGCTGGAAAGTGTGCATCCGACGTCATCAAGAAAGTAAGAGATAGCTACCTTGTAGATCCACCACCACTAGTCTGATAAAGTCTCCAGCCTCAGATTCCACTTCTTCTCTAGCGAGATGGAAAGTGTGCCACTCTTTGATGGAATGATCTAGCAAGATGATGAAATTCAACATACTCTCTACACGTTCTCTTTGAGACAGCCCAGCAGGTTCCTGGACATATGAAGCTTATCCTAAGTCTTTCATCTCAGTAGTGGGGCCTTATTTAAACGATAGTATGTTGTCATAGATATACAACTTCAAGAGAAGAACAGTTGCTTCATTTAGACATAAAAGTAATTTCTTTAAAGTGAAATTCAAATCGATCGTCTTACTCAACTTTATCCACTCAAAAATGTTTAACAAATCTTATGACACCTTGATAATTAGTATGGGACTTGTATGCTATTTAATTGAAAGGAATTATGGATCTTGTAGACTAATGTTTCGGACATTTGAGAGCAAGTTATATCATGCATGTTTGATAACCATTTCAGTTTTTAGTTTTCATTTTTCATTTTTCATTTTTCATTTTTTAAAAATTGATCACCACAGTGGCACCATATAACTTCAGTCGAGGACAATTGCTACGTAATAAAAATTGAAATTTGTGTACCTATTTTCAGTTCTTATTTTTGAGCTCCTTCCGTGAAGAAAGTCAACCTGGTGTCTAATGAAGTACAAGTCTAGAACGCTCAAATCCAGCATCTTCCGACCTCATCTACAGAAGCAAAATTTGTAAATGAAATTAATCATTTTGGATTCATACGTTTTCATTCATGTCAATTTTAAAAATTCTAATTTCAAACAAATTATCACTTTAATTTGTTGGTAATAGAGAAGCGACAAGATATATATACAAGGGAAGAACTACGAAGAGGCTGGGCTGGGCGGCTGATTTTCCAACTTAGGCTTAAATGTATTAAAAAAATACACTACAATTAAATATTAGCCCACCATTTAACACACACAGATGGGGGAAGCAGCTGCGACGATGCAAGAGGAAGTGGCAGCAGCAGCAGCTTATGACCTGAGGGACAAATTTTATCGTAAACAGAGTTAGTACGGTCCCAAAGAGAAGACGGACACCCACAAGAAAGAAAGAAAGAAAGAAAGAGAGAGATAGATGATTTATGCATCGATATGTTCTGTTTCATAACAAATATATATCCCAATTGGGTCTTTTAAGTCATCAAGTGTTTTCTGGCAAAAACAGAAAGGGATCGAGTGTTTTTAGCTGTTAGATCGGTGTCTAATGCAATCCCAGGGCTGAGAACAAAGTGTCGCTTACAGGTCCTTAAAATTTGTCCCTCAGGTGAGAACACGAAATTGACGAACGGACATGTTGTCCTCATAAGAACAAATTTCAGAAATTTCAGAAAACTATACAACCATCTCAAATCTACTCTGTGTTTCTAAACAACTATGAAAAACTATACAACCATCTCAAATCTACTCTGTGTTTCTAAACAACTATGAAAAACTATACAACCATCTCAAATCTACTCTGTTTCGAAACAACTATGAAAAAATCAGTTTAGGTATCGCATAACCAAGAAAGAAAGAAAAAAATTGCATCTCACCGGAGATACCGGCGCCAAAAATCTTCAGGCTGCCAAACAGAGAGTTGGATGCGGTTTGTTCATTTCATCCCTAGCTCTCACATTCACAAAAATATTACAATATATTACAATTGTGTTCATAGACATCATATTGTAGGACCCATCACAAAAACAAGTCCATTTGTAGGACCCATCACAAAAACAAGTTCATTTGTAGGACCCATCAAAATATTACAATATATTAGATCACATTGTAGGAAACATCCTCCCTACAATCCTCCAAAACAAGTTCATTTGTAGGACCCATCAAAATATTACAATATATTACATCATATTGTAGGAAACATCCTCCACAAAGACAAGTTCATATTGTAGGACCCATCAAAATATTACAATATATTACAATAGTGTTCACAGCCATCATATAATATTACAATATATGTACGACCCATCACAAAAACAAGTTCATATTGTAGGACCCGTCAAAATATTACAATATATTACAATTGTGAAGTGTTCACACCCATCATATTGTAGGATATTACAATATAGTACAATTGTAAAGTGTTCACACCCATCATATTATTGTAGGATATTACAATATATTACAATTGTAAAGTGTTCACACCCATCATATTGTAGGAAACATCCCCCACAAAAAACATGTTCATATTGTAGGACCCATAAAAAATATTACAATTGTGTTCACACCCATCACATTGTAGGAAACATCCTCCACAAAAATATTTCTTGTTCACACCCATCAACAGTGACCCTCCTATTTGTCCTTTATCAACAGCACCGTAGGATCTTGTCTTTTTTTATGAGCATATCTTTCATGACATCACATCCTTCGACTTTCTTATTTGTAGGAAGGTTCCTCGATAAAAAGATTCAACGAAAACACGTTCTTCTTTCCTTCCTTCCTTGGGTTCCTCGTTACCGCTGAAATTTCCTTGATGCTTCCTTCAAGGGGCCCAAGGGGAGGGTTGGGGGGGGGGCAAACCCAAAATGTGATTTCCAGCAACAATAACCTGCCAGGGCAAACAGTGGGGCCTACAAACCTGGGCAAGCCCGAGGGGGAGTGATGTCAGTGCGCTGACGTCACGATGACGTCAGCGCAGCTGTTTAAATTTTTTTAAAGCTGGCGCGTGCAATACACTCGCCCGGTTTAAAAAAAATTTGACGCGCGCTACAGTAGCCGCACAACGGCTTGATTCCACGCGTCGCATGCTGGGCCATCCAATCTGCTTTTTAAACTTATCTAACGGCAACTATTTTTTCGCGAATAAAAAAATCCAAAAAGCAACCCCCAACGGCTCTATGCCACGTGGAAGCTCCTGGGCTCTCCGATTGGTTTTTTCCAGCAATCCAACGGCAGACAATTTTTTGCCCAATAAAAAATTGAAAAAAAATCGGAAAAAATTTAAAAAAATACGAAAAAAATACTGAATTTTTTTTTCTATAAATACCAACCAATACTCTTCACTTTTAACACCAACTCTTCATACATTTTCTTCCCATTCTACTTTTTTTCACTTTCTAGTCAAATTTTTTTCACTTTCAAGTTGTTTTTTTCTCTCTTTCAAGTTGTTTTTTTGTCTATCATATTATGGGTTCTTCTAGTGAAACCGGAGGAGGGGCATGGAGCATGACGGAAGATATTAGCTTGTGTGAGGCTTGGCTCCAAGTTAGTCATTGTCCCGTAACGGAAAATGAGATCAAATTATGTCATATGTGGAAAAAAATTCATCAGGAATTTTGTGAAAGGGTAATTGGTTCGACCCGTACGGATCAAGTATTATCTAGTAGGTGGAAAATTCTTAATAAAGAGTTGGGAAAATGGAGAGATGCCTTGACAAAAGCGATGAACAACCAAAGAAGCCGATGGAGAGATGCCAATGGAGAGATGCCTTGGGAAAATGGGAAAATAGGAAAATGGAGAAAATGAAATTTATCTGAAATTTATCTGAAATTTGAAACCGAAAATATAATTCGATATAAATAGTATTGACACATAGGAACCCAAAAATCTTATCCGAAAATATTATCCAAATTAATTGTTTAAGTAAACAAAGTTGTGAAAAAAAACAAAAAAATGAATAGTATTTGCCATGGCAAGCCTTGCATTGCTGGAAACACAATTTTTTTTTGCCCTAGGGCAGCCACTATTCACATGAATAGTACCCGCCCTAGGGCTCCCCTTGCCATGGCAAGGGGCTAACTGGTGGAAGTGCTCTAAGAAGTGGGGCAAGAAAAGGAATAGAAGAACAAGACTGGGCCAAAAAGCATGTTTATATATACCAGTCTCAAATAATTTTATTGGAATGACACTCTTTAGAGTCTCATACAAATTTTTTTTAACAATCCAAACTGTTCATCTTTCACGTCTTCATTCATAAATCATCCTTATAAAAAATCAGAAAAATTAAAAATTATTAAGACATCTAATTGCTGACAACAAAATAGATAAATAGGATGCTTTAAGAAAAGACTAAAATAACAATAATCTAATTGAGTTGCCAAATGTTTCGGATTCACGTGATTTTTTTCAAATTTGATCTTTGAGAGAATATCTAAAAATTAGATTATTCGGATAATTGAAAAACAACGTGTGGTAAGCCTTACAATGGTGTCCTTCAAATAAACTTCTTTGAAGAATCTCTCTATAAAAACTCACTATATATATACACAGAGAGCTTCCGCATTGTATTTCACTAATCCAAACCCTCTATTTTTTAGATAATCATTCAAAGATCATCTATACAAAAAATCACTTGAATACGATATCATTTGACCACCCAATTGAGTTATTGAATTTTAGTATTTTCTTGAAGTATCATGTTTATTAATTTTGTAAGACACAATTGGATATCGAAATGGTTTCCGATTTGTCTAATTTTTTACAATAATGATCTATGAATGTATACTTAAAAAATGAATGATTTGAATCGTTGAAAAAAATTTCGTAAGTGACCTTAAAAAATATCCCTCAAATAAAATTATTTGAAAAATTCATCAATAAAGAGTGACTATATATAACATTCGGAGGTCCATACTCCAATTTGGAAGTGGTCCCAAAAAAGTTAAAGTCTTCCATCATATAGTGGACTGGAAAAGTTAAAGTCTTCCGTTACGTCCTGGAAAAGTTGGTCTTCCATGCTATGGTAATCAACCACGGTACCATTCATATGTCTTTCTCCCCATTAAAGTCTTCCACGTATTGCATCACTCTTAAGCCAAGTAGATTATCAGCATTAGGACTTCAATTCCACTTTGGTTTCCTTCATTTCAAATTTCTTTTTTTAAAAAAATTTTTGCTCACCACTTTAACATCATCATTCTTAATATTTGATATATGTCTATAGACATAATCATGATTAACTTTTTATTTTGATTTTATGTAATTATAGTTTTACTTATAAACACGTGTCAAGTGTTGAAAATGATGACAAACATACATCTTGGGTTAAAGA